TTTTGGTTTACTTTGGGTTTCCTGGTAATCCCAACAAATGTTGCACAAAATTAAAACCAACTTTGATAGAGTAACTTAAAATAATCAAAACAAAATCGGGACTTTCCAAAACCACATCATGTATTAATTCAATCAAATCAAATGAAACCAACTTTTACCAAATTCTTAACTAAATCAAAAATTTATTTGTCTTCGGCTACTCATACCCATACCTTTGTAAACAGAACATCTAATATAAAAAGGAAAAAACAGAACATGTTGCCTTTGTAAACGGAGGGAGTACTACTTGACTGAACAATTAACAAAGAAAGCAAAGTTTCGCATGACATTATGAAATTTTCTTTTCGCCTGGATATACATTAAGCTGAATTATCACACCAATCATTCGACCAGCACAGTGTCGGTGGAGATGAAGCTGAAGATGACCATGTCCTTGACGGCGCCCTTGAGCACGCAGTACCGCCGCAGCACGGCCTCCCGCCGGAACCCGGCCTTCTCCAGCACCCGCTGCGACGCCACGTTGGCCACGTCCACCAGCGCCTCCACGCGCTGCAGCCCCTCCACCTCGCCGAACACCGCGGCCACCGCCCGCCGCACGGCCGCCGTGGCCACGCCCTTGCCCCAGTGCGCGCGCGCCAGCACGTACCCGAGCTCCGCGCGGCAGGCGTCGTCCGTCGGCGACACGGAGATCGCGCCAACGGGGCGGTCGTCACCGGGGAGGCAGATGGCGCGCTGCCACTGGTGCGGGAGCACGGCGTCCCGGATGTAGGCGAGCAGGTTCTCCGTGGATTCGTAGGGCTCCCAGCGGCACACGGCGGCCACCTGCGGGTCCGACGCCCACACCATCATGGCGTCCACGTCGTCGAGGCCGAACCGCCGGAGCGTCACCTCCGCGGCCGGCTTCTTCGCGGGCTGCGCTCCTTGGCCGGCCTGCTCCATTTTCTTTTGAGCTACGTACTCTGTTTGGCGACGGCGAGCAGAGGTGGCCTGTGTTTAAAGCTAGAATCTGTCAGAGCAAGCGCCCGCTCTGTTTGACCGCATCACATACAAATTGTGAGTTAGGAAGGAACCTTGACGACCAAGTTTGCCGTGAAGTGAAACGATCGGGCGTTCTTGGAAAATTCAGAGAAAAGGACAGGCAGGCAAGTCCGCAAGTGTCAATGGTG